AGATAAATTGTGGAATCTGTCTTACATACTAAAAGTATTTCTGGTTTCTTGTACAAGCTTTTTGGAGAATAATGAAAGAAAATTTGTTATTATTTGGGTTGAAAGTCAAGAATATATAGCCTGCGTTTCCTAAAGGGACACTGTCTCCTTTGAAACAAGCAAATAAAACAGATTTATTTTTCATGAGCTCATTTCTCTCAAGCCTAGAGAGTAAAAATGCATATCATAGAGGCTCAAAAGCAATTTAGTTAGTAAAAGCATATGACAAAATGAGATTTTTCCACCATTTGGCTTCTATATTCACAGAAGCACTTGTCTTGATACAGTAAGTGGATGGTTAAATTTCATCTTAATTGAACCTCACTTTGGCCAATTAATCAGATACTTAGAGCTCTTTGACTTTTTCCCCGCAGATCTATTTTTATTGATTTTTTTTGCGAGAGAGGGAGTGAGAAATACCATTTGGCTGCCTCCTGGATGCCTACTACTGGGAATAGAGCCCATAACCTGTGCATATGCCCTGACTGGGAATCGAAAAAGTGACCTCTTGGTCCATGGAACAACGATAAATCCACTGAGCCACACACCAGCCAGGCTCTTTTACTTTTACTTGAATAAAATTTGAGTAAAAAAGAGATTACTTTTTTTCTCTTTTTATTATAGGAATTTTCAAATGTACACAACAAAGTAGTGAAAACAGTTTTATGAGCCCCCTCAAATCATCCCTTGGGTTCAACAATTATCAATATTCTCTCCAGATACGCTGTGATTTTTGTCTAATTTAGAGACAAAAGTAAAGTTTCCCCATCTCCTCCTACTCTACCCAAGGAACCTGGAAATAGGCTGCTTTTGAAACTGAAGCTATGAAATCAGTGTGCGATAATTGAGAGCAGCTGTCTGTGACAGATTGGCCTCCCAGGCCCGAAAGATTAGTAAGGAAGGGACCAGCATATCCACAGAAAGAACATTTCAGTCAGGAAAGAAAGCATCTCTGAGGCAGACCCAAGAGAGAGGATGTGCCTGGGAATCCTACGGCAAACTTTTCTAAACCGCAAATCCAAGTGACCTTCTACGTTTCAGCTTGCTTTCTGAGATGGTATGCTGGTGAATGTACACATCCAACTGGCTTGACAGTTATTTTCTCAGTATCCTCTTGTGTGCTGTGGTAGCAGGGATCAGCATCCCTGTGGGTGTTGTCTGCCTGTAAAGATGAGGGCCACATTCCAGGCAGTGTTGACTTCCTTCACCAAGGAAACTGCCATCCACCCTGGATAGGTGTTTTTTTTCTCTTCTTTGCAGACACTGAGTCTTCCATACCTGCACAGAGTGTGTGTATGGCATCTGTGCTTATGAAAAACCACCAAATTTTCACCCTTTATACTTTGGTCACCCTGTTGCGTTGGTGTCTGGTAGTTCTTACCTTGAGCTTCGATTGGCCCTCTCTCAGGTTTTGTTTTAATTGAGATGTAATTCGAATACTATATAATTCACCCATTTAAAGTGTACAATTCCACCCTTAGCTCTTTGCCAAAAAGGCAGTACCTGGGCATGCTCTCCATCCAGGTAGTGTGCCCATGCCATTCCCTTTCCCCTCTCCTTCCCCTACAGGCACAACCTCCTAAACTCCAAGGGACCCCATGAGACTTGCAACCAGGGTGGTAATGTGCAGCAGCAGTTTATCCCACGTAAATCCCCTGAACCTGTATTGACTTCCCAGTGAGCCAAAGCAGCCCAGCCTAGCCTCATTTTCCCACCTGGTCCCTCTCCTGTTATTCTAGGCCCTTTCTTGTTTCACTGTCCCCAGTTTTAATAAATGTCCCCTAAAATAAAATGAAAAAAGGCAGTGCCTGGTACTGCTCAGGAAGCAAGGACACACAGCAATCGGGGTGCTTTCCAGGGCTCTCAGCTTAGCAGGACATCAGGCAGGCTGTTGCTGCCTCGAGCAGTTGGGTGCTCCCTGTCTTGATGATTTCAGTTTTGGGTCCTAAGTGGATCCTCACTGTCATGTCTCATAGCTATGCTGCCACTGACATTTGGCCAGCCATATGTGTCAGGCAGAATCATTTACCAGAGAGCTCTCCCGCCTTGTTTCCCCTGGGTTGTGTTAACGGGATATGTTTGTGACCTTTTTTGTTTGTTGGTTAATACTCATCTGAGGGTATTTCCTCCCTCACTTTTTAAAAAAAATTTATTGATTTCAGAGAGGGAGAGAGAGAGAGTTAGAAACATCAATGATGAGAGAGAATCATTGATAGGCTGCCTCCTGCACACCTCCTACTAGGGATCAAGCCTGCCAGCCAGGCATGTGCCCTTGACTGATATCAAACCTGAGACCCTTCAGTTCTTAGGCCAACTCTCTGTCCACTGAGCTGAACCAGCGAGGGCCCTCTACTTTTTTAGAGTGGAAAGGAGGGAAGGCTGGGGGAGCAAGAGAGAGAGAAACATTGATGTGAGTCAACTGGCTGTCCCCAATATGTACCCCAACCAGGGGCAGAGAGCGAACCCACAACCCAGGCACGTGCGCCTGACCTAGAATTGAACCCTTCGGTGCACTGTCAAACGCTCTACCCACCGAACCATGACAGCCAGGGCTGTTTTGTGACCTTTGGTACATTGTTGAAAGTACCTGCTCCAGGTGCACACCCAGCTGGTTCTGGTTGAAGTGTTATGGGCAAAAATTATCCCTGTTTTTAAAAAGACTGCTTTATTAAAGTATTATTTACATACCAAAGATCATTGGTACATTTACAGAGTTGTATAATCCAATCATCCCCACAGTCCAATTTTGGAACATTTCCATCATCTCCAAAAGATTCTTGTGCCCATTTGCAGGGACTCAGCACCCCATCCCTCAGCACCGGAGACCATTAATCTACGTCTTACCCTAATGATTTGCCTATTCTGGACATGCTGTATGATTCTGTTCATATCACATGTCCAGATAAGGTATGTTTTAACTGGTGATTTCATTGATAGTTGCTTTCAAAGTAACAATTTCTTACTTCAGAATATGCTTTTCCTGCTATACTAGTTACTTGTGATTTATTGGTGTGTGGGGGGTATTTTGCACAGCACCAACCTTTTTTGTGCAAAGATTGATGTTTTTTGGAACATTTGGTTTCATGCTGATCATCTACACTAATAAAAGAGAAACATGGTAATTAGCGTACGACCTCTACCCTTTTCATTGGCTAATCAGTGAGTATATGCAAATTAACTGTCAGCCAAGATGGCGGCCGGCAGCCAGGCACTGAAGCGAGCATGAGGCTTGCTTGCTGCGGACTCCAACGTTCCCCGCCTCACTTGCCGGCCTCTCAGCTGCAACTCTAAGCAACTATGTACTATGTTGCAAATAAGAAGCTAAACAAAACACCAGAAACCGGCTTCCATTCAGCCGGGCT